ATTTCTTTTCTAGTTATTTCGCCTTACCCACACACCACCACAAATAATCAGTGTATGGATTGCCAGTGGTTGCTGTATGATGGACTTCCTGTGTATAAAAAGGAAAGAAAATGGTTAGAAATTATGGTTTAATGTTCATGAACAACAGAACTAAACTATTGTCTCCCATGAAAAAAACAAACAAACAAACAAAAAAAGAAACAAAAAAAAAAAACAAAGAAGAAAAATAACAAAAAAACAAGAAACAACAACAAGAAACAACAGAAAAAAAAATGAAACAAAACAAAGAGTCAAAGATATTGTCTTTGTCATCAATTACTTGACAAGTGGTTTAATAGACGGCTTGTGGCCAATACCCAAGAAGCCTAAACCATAAACAAAGTGGGAGGAGTTTGCAAGAAGACAAACAAGGGAATTAAGAAAACAAAGAGAGAAAGACAACTAGTTGATGAGGCAAAAGGAAAATATCTACCAAGATATGGATACACCTACTTGCAGAAGTTACGTTGTCAATATATAGAAAATAGAACATTTGAATTTAGCAAAAAGGAATAAAACTTAAAACAAGACAAGAGAGTGTTCAGCCTCAGTAATCTTCTTTTGTCTTTTTAATTTATTTCTTTTTTACTAAAATACGAATGCCCTATTATTTATGACAACGTTTTCGCAGGTAGGTGTATAAGAGAACTAAGATGATACTTGGGACTAGATTGCAGAAGTGCCAGCAAATTATGCATTATTATGTTATAAAAAGTTTGATTTCCTATCTTTTCTTACCACTTTGTTAGCTGATACAACAGTACATATAGCAATGCCAGCAGTTATCATCAAAACTGAGATGTACTTGGATAGTTTGTAGCTGAATAAAGGGTGGTAAAGACATAAAATTAATGGTTTCAAAAACTAATTTAAGGTGATTTTATTGCAGCTACATATTGTATAAGACTACAAGAGACCAATTTTAGGTACTCAAAATTTGGTAATATCGTCATGTACGAGAAACCTCAGGGGAGTTTATTGTAATGTAAATTTACTGTGATGCAAACTATCCCGATGATAATTCGTGTACACTTCGTTCTTAATATTAATGATATAGTGAAATGTTAATGAGAAATTGTTTAATAATACTAAAAAAAAAAAACAAGCGAACTAAAAAAAAAAAAACAAGCGAATTCACTTGTGGCGTAACAGGTTAGGTTTAGGGTTAATGATCGGATAGGTCATATTTAGGGTTCGCAGGTTCGAATCTTATCTGCCGGATCAATTCATTTTTCTAAGTGAGGAGAACCAAAAACCTCTCGTGTGTTCGGAAACATATGACGTATTTGGTTACACGGTAAACGGCGATAGTACCCAAAAATTCATCATGATTATAAATGACTTCAGTGTTTCTAACCAAAAATCAACAAATGGTTTCATAATTGTACCTTCTCTTCAATATGATGACTCCAAGACATAAATTTGCCACAAGAGATCCCTGATAAATAATGTTGGACATAATCAGTTATGAATACTTATATTGCATTTGTGCAGAAGTTCATTAAGTTTGCAAGGACCCAATTCCAGGACAAAAATGACAATTTTCAAGGAGCACYCTATTGCAGCTTTTATGAGTAAATATTTGAATCTTGTAATATTTATGAACTTCAGATTGTTCTTTGCACTAACTAATATGCATCTCTTTTTTCAATTGTTGATATATTATATACATTGTGCTTATTAATAGAGCTAGTAAATAAGGATTCAAGACTTACAGCTCTAAATATCATATGCAGAGGAACAGCAACATTAAAGTTGAAAGCATAGTTGTTAATGACACTTGTTATAAAGAAGAAAGCAACCATGTTGAAATAACATCTGCAAATAAAAATGGAAGTTTATAATAAAAATGATGTTTGTGGTTGTTAAATGCAATTCTAGTCCTTCACAGGGGCCTGGCTTTTACACGTAACCAACAAACAATTATGCACAGATTATCTAATAAGTACATATGTATCATTTCCTGCTCAATRGTCTTTTAGATTCAATTCAAAGGCACAKCAGCTACCTTTCAAAAATATGGCGCAAGGATCRAACCGTGAAGTTATCCAAAACGGGTCGARTAACCCCCGGGGGTTTCAGAGACAATGTATCTCTCTCTTCTGATGTTTCATTATAATTCTTTATCTGCCATGAATCAAGGCAGAGAAAGGCTTAAGGGAATTACCTTATTGGGATGATAGGAGACTTTCGTCCAAAGTCAGCAGTAAAAATAAATCCTTGTAGTGCAATAAAAAAGAATTGTGAAAAAGTAAAAAAGTTGCCAGAACTTGGAGCTTCCCTAAAAGTACAAAAATACATATTAGGGAAAATAAACTTTCACTGATTTAAACTTATAATCATAACCTACTGAACAATATTATTATTAGACATAAATGTTTTCCACCAAATTTAGAATAAGTTTATGTATTCATAAAAGAACAATAGTATATCTTTTTTCCCTAAAAGTAAAAAAACAAACAAACAAAAAAACATTATTTAGGAAAAAATACAGTATACTTTCACTGATTTAAACTTATCTTCTGAACATTTTATTATTAGAATAAATGTATTCATAAAAGAACAAATATTTTTTTTCCAAATTTGGTTGAATGAAAACATTCATGTCTAATAAAACTCAATGCAATTTGATTGGATGAAGCCAAAGCCTCTTGTAAACTTCAATTTAACTTAACGAGTGCAGCCAAAATGGCCTAAAATACTTAAAAAAATACCAACAAATAGTATTTTAAACGAATTCACAACTACAACATTGTTATCAATAACATATGATGCCTTGCTCTGGTGGCAGATTGTTATTTTTGMACGAAACAAAGCAAACATTTTAAACACAATGGAAACGAATCTTACCTTATAATAAGTTCGAGAAAAACATTGTTCAACATACACCCTGCAAACACYAGCGATACTGCTATTGCTGGATGCATAACTTAAAAGCAATAATGGACTATGTTTCCTAAGAATTTGCTAAAAATAAGGTCTAAAAAGGCTTCACTGAGCACAGCTCACGCGAACTCTCTTTGTTTGCTTTGCACGAGTATTTCAACGAGTAACTAAATTCCACAGGGATCCCGGCCGGTGTATAACGCAATGCATCCTTTACATTGTCAGCGGTTAGATCCGTAACCGAAAACGCTGAGAATTTTTTTCTCACTTTTTTGTTCGTTAAAAATGCCAAAAAACATAAATAAATAAAAAAAAAAAAAATAAATAAATAAATAAAGAAAGAAATCCACAAATATGTATCTTTATTTATAATCTAAAATAGAACCTTTGTTAACTGTGTACCTATCTGTAATAAAACACGAGACTTTTTTAAATATCCGACTGGATCTCTTTTTGGGAAAAAGGAAGATCTAGTGAAAGCGACATCATTTACACTTGCAATTTTTGCAGCCGCACCTCAGCTCGCCCCTGTAAACAGCCCTGTGATTATTAATGTCACGACGATTTTCGAAACTTAGGCGATGATCGCGCGACAATCTCGCTTCAAAAATCGCAAGTGTAAACGGGCCTTTATTAACAGGTTAGCGTTTCATTTGTGCGCAAGTCAAAGCACAAGTGTCATCCTTGATGCTTTGCGACCGTTTAATTTTAAAAATAAGGGACTGTCTCTGATTGTCTAGACTTGGAACTTAAGTTGACTGTGGAAATTTAATTGAAAGCTCAACAAGTTTGTRAAGACTGAAATATTTTTTTTTGTGCAACACAAAATTATCACACGGTGYACAAAGCATCCAGGGTGATACTGAGCCTTCAGAGCACAACTGTAACAGAAACTTGATATAACGATGATGATCGTGTGTAGCAGGTCACTACTACGTACTAATTGTCTGTTTTAAAAAGAAGTCTGTTCATTGTTTCTAGTCCTCTTCTTCCTCCTCTTCTTCCTTCTCGATCATTTTCTTCTTTTTACTTGGTAACACAGGGTTTACAAGGGGCCCGAAGTATGGCGCCTTTTCCATAGCACACTTTATACATRTAAAACCAGGACTACTCTCCTCTCGAACTCCAGATTTGAACTGTATAGTAATAGAATGGAAATGAGTAAATCAGTGTCGAAATACTAAACAGACCAGAGTTAGTAGAGGAGACTTCTCCTCTACTAACTCCGAACAGATGAAAAGAAAAAAAAGAAAAAAAAGCCTATTCGAAAAAGCTTTCGTCTGGAGTTGTTCCTTATCGTGTCGAGTCTTTCTCTCCAGTTTAGAGCCACATTGTAAATACCTCTGGAGTAAAAAATAATCAAAGCCACTACTTTGAAAAAGCTTTAAACAGGCAGCAACCTTGTTAATTCAAAGAAACTGCTCTAAACAGACAAGAAAGAGTTTATATCAGACAGGAGAAAAATCTAGTCGCTAGTTTGTCCAATTTGTTTTTTTTTTTTTTCAATATCTTTAATTGCATTTCTTTTGTATWGCGGGGGCCTAAATTTCCAAAAGTGCTTTACAAATGCACGTGAATAATTCTGAACAAACAAGTCTATTTACTATCAGAGATTTAGTACTTACCACAGTTAATTTGGGTCGTTCGATGACCACATGTGGCATGGGCTCAAGGTCTAAGGGGTTATAGCAGTATATACACTCTGGGGGATTTTTCTGAAAAAATCAGCAAATGTTATAGTCTTAGATTGTTGTCATTCAAGGCGTTTGCTTTTTCTGTGT